AGGACGCTGAGGAGAAGCCCACAGTGGCGTCACACAGCTCAGGGCTCCTGCTCCTGGGCCCCAGCAGCAATCCCAGCTCCTTTGCACAACAGCACAGAGGGATTTGCTGGAAGCTCCCAGGAGTGGTGGAGTGGCTTCCCAAGGAGCAGGAAGGGCAGTTTTAGTGGTGTTTCCTCAGGAATGTGTGGGAAGGAGCTGAGGTTTGGCTTTGGGAAGCCGGGCTGGGGATGCTGGAGCTGTTCTGTCCTGGTTTCACTCCACGAGTGCTGTGCAATGTGAATTTGTAAAGCTCCAGAAGATGTCCATGAGTTTGTGGATTGTTTTGCTCACCCAGTTTGGAGCTGCTGTGTCATTCCAGCCTCACCATTTCCTGCACCCTCAGTTTTTGTCAGCATTCCTTTTTCCCCTTCTCCACCCAGGATATTCCCAAAAGCCCCAAAGGTTTTTTATCCAGCACAGGGATGAGCTCTCAGCCTGCAAACTGCATTCAGGATTCAGCCCAGATCCCAACACCACCCTGCCCTTGCAGCCTGGGTTTTCCAAATCACAGCCCAACATTTAAATCTGTATTTCTGGAGCCTCTTAACTCCTGGAATTCACAAATTTGCACCCCTGGAAGCGCTGACACCTTTAAATGGGGTTTCACTTTGCTCTGGGGAGCTCAGAGTTAAGTGCAGCTCTGAGCTGCCTTTTCCACGAGCCCCCCAAAAATGACATTTCCTTCTGTGAAATCCTGTTTGCCAAGGCCACTCCAAACCATGGAATGAGCCCCTTGAAGTGTTTCCCAATTCCTTTTTCTTCCATATTATGAAAATAACTTTTTCCCCCCCTCTTTTCTCCAGCCAAAGCATTGATGTAAAATATTCCACAGCCTGATTTTTCTTTCTCCCCTCACAGGAGCTGCTTAGAAATCTACGGGCACCTCTGCAAACTGGAGGAAAAAGCAGAGCAGGACTCTTAGAACCACAGAATTTTCCTCTTTGTAGCAAAAAAACCAATGGACAGAGGATGCAAGGGATTCTCCTCGTGCTGCTTTACCCTGCCTGATGTGCAGCAGCTGCCTGGAGCTGGGAATTCCAATCTTTGAATTTCCAATTTGAATTTCCAATCTTTTCCTTGGGTATTCCCCCAGGTGCTGCTGCTGCTGCTGCTCTTTGCTTTTCCCCAGAGGAGCAGAACAAAAAAAAAAAACAAAAAATCTTTGTACTGAACAAAGGATATGGATGAGGAATAACTGATTGATGTTTTGCTGTGTTTGAGAAAATGTTGTTCAAATTCTGGGAGCTTGGTGTTAGGGGGGTTTGACTTTTAAAGTTTACATGCAAGAGAAGCTTTCTCCTTTGAAGAGGATTTTTCTTTTGTATTTCAAGAGTTTCTGCTGTACTGGGACGTGCTCCACAGAAAGGAGGTGGTGGGGAAGAGGTTTTTCCACTTTCTATCGAGTCTCACACTGAAAATAAAAGGTCAGAGTTTAAGGACCCAAATTGATCAAACTGAGGTGTTTGTGTTAAAAGTTGTGCTGCAGGATAACAAAAAAAAACATTTGTGGAAAGGGCTGAAGGCAGAGAAAGCAGCAGGGCTTGAGGGGAAGAAAAATCGTTTGAGTGCTCATTAATTTATTTCACAAAGCAGCAGAAATGAGAGGGGGAGAAAAAAATCCAATTTCATGTCTTAAAAATTAAAGCACCCAAACTCATGGACACACATAGGCAGAGACCACCCTGAAAACACTCTCACAAAGCAATAAATGCAAAAAAAACCCACACAAAACTCCTCCAACTTGGCAGCATTTATGTAGAAAAACTTTATTCCAACTGCAGAACACTCAATGAGTCAGGAGGAGATGGAGAAAAGGCTGCTGGTGTGGAAGACGAGCAGGACCCTGTGGGCAAGGACTAAATTCCCTAAAAAAAGTTGATTTTCTCCACATTTCATTTGTTTTCCACCAGCTGCCAAGGCTGCTGAGGGCACAGACAAACACCTTTTACGACTGCAGGGCTTCCCCAAAATTTCAGAAAAATTTCACAGCAAGGAAAGGAAGGTGATGTGAAAAACACAGCTCGAGAAATGCAACAACAGAGCAAAAAAAAAACATGGCAGGTGAGAGAGGCTCTGCAGGAATAGCTAAAACCAAANCAGCCTCCATCGGGAGCTCTCCATCTACAAGTGAGCTTGGGGGTCACCCCCGAGGGGCAGAGGGGCTGGGAGGGGGAGAGGGATGGTGGGGAGGAGCCCACAGTGGGGTCACAGGGCCAGGAGGACCCACAGTGGGGTCACAGGGATGGAGAGGAACCCACAGTGAGGTCACAAGGATGGGAACAGGAGAGAGATGGTGGGGAGGAACCCACATTGGGGTCACAGGGATGGGAGGAACCCACAGTGGAGTCACAGGGATGGTGGGGAGGAACCCACAGTGGAGTCACAGGGATGGAGAGGAGCTCACAGTGGGGTCACAGGGATGGGAACAGGAAAAGGAAGGCGGAGAGGAGCCCACAGTGGGGTCAGAGGGATGGGAGAAGGAAGGGATGGTGGGGAGGAGCCCACAATGGGGTTACAGGGATGGAGAGGAACCCAGAGTGGGGTCACAGGGATGGGAGGACAGAAGGGATGCAGGGGAGGAACCCACAGTGGGATCACAGGGCCAGGAGGACCCACAGCAGGGTCAGAGGGATGGTGGGGAGGAGCCCACAGTGGGGTCAGAGGGATGGACAGGAGTTCACAGTGGGGTTACAGGGATGGGAGAAGGGAAGGGATGGTGGGGAGGAACCCACAGTGGGATCACAGGGCCAGAAGGACCCACAGCAGGGTCAGAGGGATGGTGAGGAGCCCACAGTGGGGTCACAGGGATGGAGAGGAGCTCACAGTGGGGTCAGAGGGATGGGAGGATAAGAAGGATGGTGATGAGGAGCCCACAGTGGGGTCACAGGGATGGGAACAGGAGAAGGGAAGGGATGGTGGTGAGGAGCTCACAGTGGAGTCACAGGGATGGGAAGAGGGAAGGGATGGTGGAGAGGAACCCACAGTGGAGTCACAAGGATGGAGAGGAGCTCACAGTGGGGTCACAGGGCCAGGAGGACCCACAGTGGGGTTACAGAGCTGGGAGAAGGAAGGGATGGTGGAGAGGAACCCACAGTGGGGTCACAGGGATGGGAACAGGAGAAGGAAGATGGAGAGGAGCCCACAGTGAGGTCAGAGGGATGGGAGGAGGAAGGGATGATGGTGAGGAACCCACAGTGGGGTCAGAGGGATGGACAGGAGCCCACAGTGGGGTCACAAGGATGGGAACAGGAGAAGGAAGGCGGAGAGGAGCCCACAATGGGGTCAGAGGGATGGAGAGGAGCCCACAATGGGGTTACAGAGCTGGGAAAAGGGAAGGGATGGTGGGGAGGAACCCACAGTGAGGTCACAAGGATGGGGACAGGAGAAGGAAGGTGGAGAGGAGCCCACAGTGGGGTCACAGGGCTGGGAGGACAGAAGGGATGCAGGGGAGGACCCACAGTGGAGTCACAGGGATGGAGAGGAGCTCACAGTGGGGTCACAGGGCCAGGAGGACCCACAGTGGGGTTACAGGGATGGGAAGAGGGAAGGGATGGTGGTGAGGAGCCCACAGTGGGGTCACAGGGAAGGGAGGACAAGAAGGACGCTGAGGAGAAGCCCACAGTGGCGTCACACAGCTCAGGGCTCCTGCTCCTGGGCCCCAGCAGCAATCCCAGCTCCTTTGCACAACAGCAC